GGAGCACAAGGTGTCAGATGGTGAACTGAAGTTCAACAACAGACCATAAGGGACATTGAAAGAGAGAAGTTTATTATTCACAGGTCATACGGGGAGGGACACCATGTGCCTTGAGAGGCCACACAGGTTGGTGAAGGCAGGGGGAAGTCAGAGGCAGGACCTGGGGCACACGCCTTTATGAGAGTCTGTGAGTAGAGTGCGTTGGACTTCTCAGGCTAAGGCTGAATGGGTCAATTCAAAAGAGTGGGGTTTTGGTAAATGCCATGGTGGTCTTAGCTAAGGGTACATACGGCACGCAGGCTCTGGGAGCCAGAGGAGTCTTTGATCACAAAGGCTGCTGGGGAAGTCATACCAGGGACCTACATTTGCTGGTGACTCGGGGTTGCTCTCCAGGGCATGCACCTGCTTGAGGGGTGAGTGTCAGTTTACGGTCCCTGCAGGCCACGTGGCAAACAAAATGGATGCTCCGGCAGTACTACTATGGAGTAGCTTAGCCAAATTCTTGACGAAATGATACGTATGTAACATAGAATACCCCCTTCTCAGTACTCATAATGACAACTGGGATTTAAGGAAACTTTGCAGGAAACCAGTAGGACGGTGTGTGCCCCGAAATAAATCTTGTCCAGGAAGATATGACATATTACCAGCACAGGCTGGGTAGCGCCTCCAGAAAATCGCATTCACACTTTACTCTTAATACTTATCTTTATTATGAAAGTGTTTCCAAAGTAAAATGATCCTCATAATAATGATTGCTTCCAGAGATCAGGAATGAATAATTATATTTTCATATAAAAATCAGCTAAACACAGTAACAATACATAAAATAATTCTAATCGTCTAACAGTACATCATTCCATTTCTGACAGAGATGCCCAAGCACTGAATTGTCTTAAGAAAACAAGTAAGGTATTGTCACCTATGCTATTTCTCACTGCAAATTAAAAACAATCCCCAAACAAACCCTCTCCCCCTTGCTTGACAAGAAATGGCTATGGAGATAACTGATTCTGTGGGCAAACGGAGAGCTGATGAGAATCACAGGCTTAGAGGCTTTATGAAACTTTTGGAAATCACACTTGGGAGGGTGTATTCCATCTTTAAATTAATGAATCTCTAAGTTAAAGTCCCAGAATTGCCACATAACTGTTCTTCTTACGGAGCTAATTTATCTTTGGCAACTAAACTTTAAAAGCCTCTAATTTTTTAAGGGCAGTTTTACAATGACAGTTTAAAAAAATTACTGTAGATCAAAGAGAAAAAGAAAATTACCTCTATAAAATCTAATTTTTCACTTAACACAGAAACCATACCAACAGCTGCTGTCTCTGATTTCCAGGCCATTTGACACATAACAAAAGAAGAAACCAAGCTTTCATGGACCTGTGTTAAGGAAAACAGGCTCACTTGGGCACAATAGTTTTTAAGAAAAATGGAATCAGGCAGAGAAAGAAGTGTGGGTAATCAACTGATCCAAAGCCTACTGGAAAATGGATAGCCATTAAATGACAATATTTTGGCTTCCTTTTATCAAGAGTTCCAGGAGGCTGAAAGGAATGTTGCTGGATGAGATGCACAAGACAGATGTTGGGCTAATAGTCCCCTCCTATCAGTTCCTTGCCGTCTTGAGAATGTTTAATCTTGTGAAGACACCGTAAGATATGCCCTCTGGTTGCCGAGGCTTTTATTTCTTTGATCTGATGGGGTCTTAGCTCGTGGCCATTTGGGAAGGCATTCCTTTCAAAGGCTTCAGGTTGAACTTAAGTTGGAAATGCCTGGAAGAGACTAAGGTTCTCCTTTGGGTGTCTGCAGATCTTACAAACTGTTACTTAGGATGTTTTATCTTCTCTAATAAAAGTTTTCTGCATGAAAACCAGCATCAGGTTGTGCTCCCTTTGAATAGGTATCAGAGAAGTCACAACAGCATAGAGTGGACAAATGGACAGGCCTAGGGCGCGTCTACTAAGCGCCCCCTAGGGGAGGGGAGGGGCCCATACACACAAAGGCAAGACACAGGGACCTTTGCTGGCCTATTGCTATAAAGAACTATCGGTGGCCATAGAGAACCAATACTAATTAGTATCTGCTGCATTCGGCATGACTTCAAGAACTGTTTATAATTATTAAGGGTATTCTTTTCAGGAACAGCAGGCTAGGCAGCAAGTCCAATAAATGGAGCTGCCTTTCCTCTTTCCATACAAGTCACTTAACACCTGAAAGTGCCTTGTCATCAGTTTCTCATCAGGCTGACTTTGATGCAGAATTTTTTTTCTTACTTGAATGTTATAAATATTTCAGGAATACAAATATTTATCTACAAAGCAGGAATCAGCCAAAGACAAAGGAAAAAGAAATAGGCTAATCAGTATCTTAAGACCTCAAATATCACATGAAATGTAAACATTTAACCTTTTATTTCCAAAGGATTTCTTGAAGCCTCTCTGGACATAACAACATCATCACAGACACAAAAAGAATCTTTTAACACCTCTGGAATTATTCTGTACACTTCAAATTAAGGAAAAATACTCAAATATTCAGGCAACTTTGGCATTAACATTTCTAAGAAAGGGAAAAAATAACTATCGATGCAAAATCACGAACAGAATGGGAACAATCATGGGTGTCCATAAAGTTCTCTCTGAAGAGCTCTTTTGCAAAGACTTGGGTGAATTGAACTGAAATCTCATTTTTTACTTCAGCCCAAATAGCAATGAGGTTGAAATACACAAAGTGGGAGATCCGCTTTGATTTCCTAAGGTGAAAGCATTAAGCTTGCTCAAATCCAACTTCTATCAAATACTCAGAATGGAAAGTCGGCAACAGAACTGGACATTTTGAGGTTCACCCACCAGTGTGGCTAAACGTGGTCTGATTTTCTCTCACTGAAGAGTTATTTCTCTGACCCAACTGCTTGCTTTCTTTGGGGAGCCCACCTTTCTTCCTAGTTCATTTTTGTCAGATACCTGTTTCATTATCAGTTGGTACCTCAGGACACCAGTGTCTCCAGCCTGACAGGAGTTGGATGTTAATAAAACCCTAGGGTGAAGCAGCAACTACATGCATTTTTTCCCCAACATTCAGCTTAATAATCCAAAATACTGACAGTTACTCCTCTATTATCAGCATTTGTACCACTGAACTTGGAAATGTGAACTACATTTGGCTTATACGCTGACCTTAGGACCTCTGTGATGGTAGCTCTGAGGCAAGAGACCGAAGGGATCCCACCACTCTCAGCTGGGTAAGTAGTATGAACAGGAAGGAAGTTGAGAGGGTGGTGGGAACTTTCTATAGTACACAATGGATAGTTTTTATGACAAAAATATGGATAATGATGAGTTTGGGATATTTTGGTTTTATCATGGTTTTGGAGAATTACACGTGTACATACATAGATCACACATGTTCATATCATTTACTGACTCAAGGCCAAGTTCTACTCAATTTTCTACCTTTTTTCCCCACTAAGAGATCTAGAAAAGCTATAGCATTAGAGAATAAAATATTACTTTTTCTAGACTCCTTCCTACATATCCCTTGGTGCCCTGGGAAGGTTTGAATATGACCAGGAGGAAGGAGATCTCAACACAGGCTAAATTAATTAACGGGAAACAACACTCTCAGTAACCTACAGTTGAATTTACAAAATACACTTCCAAAGCTATAGCCTGGCACAAGGAGAAGATAAGATATCCCACATATTTTCCTCTCTCAGTCTTATCATGCTACCATGGGGGAGAAGTAGACAGAAATGTATTATTTTTCATCTTAACAGACCTACAAACACCACTTCGATTAATCAAAAAGAACTCTTTGCCCTAAAATGCAACATCAAATAAAAATCTATAGATAGATAGGGGACTGTGTTAACATCACTGGTCACTGAGGCTCCGAGTATTCTCAGTCCTCTTTCTAGGTGACTTTTCGGAAAAACAACAGTTTGCTTAGATGTGCCTTTGCTGAGGACAGACTCAATTTACTTCATTTCATGCAACTCTTCTAAACCATTAATTTACAAGCCAATCTTTTCAAATTATTCTCCTGTGGTGGGGGGTCACATGATTCAAATTTGAACACATTGTGGTTCTCTGGTTTATTTCCCCTATTGAGAGGACTTGCTCAAGACACTAAAGCAAGGTACAATTCAGTCTTCATTTCCACATTTTAGTTGATCAGAAAGGAAACTTTCACCTCAAAAATTTTCAGCTATATAACATGCTTGCCATTCCATTTGATATATCTGCATTTTAGCAGATGTTCAGACGACTAACAAGGACTATTGATGTTTTATGACTGGTCTCAAACCATCCACAACTTACACTCCTAGACATATTCCTGTTTTGTGAAAGAAAATAATAAGGCTTTACAAGAACAACTAGTTGCATTGTTTTCTCAACAAGCAGATATATGTCTAAGGCTCTTTAATTATTACTGTGGACCTTATCAGAAACATACGATGTCATATATTATAGGTGGGGAAAGATTTAATATTACAGTGTGACGTTTTTGTTTGGGAGTATTATTTTAACTATTAACTCACAGGTTGCGGATTGTGAGTGCAAAGATTTATCTCAATTTTTTCAAAAATTAGAATTGAATGTGTATGGCTGTAAGCAGGACATGCGCTCCCTACTATTTCTGCTGTTGTCTTTACTATCCCCTGACTCACATTTATCTTATTGCACCATGGCTCCTGACTCTTGTTTTGTTTCTGAAATAAGTGTTTGTAATACCTTTTTATTCCCTCTTACCTAGAAGTGGAAGTAGAGATAAAGTCTTTGGTTTATGTGTATGGTTTTCTTATTTATACATAAATAACACTGCCATGTAGGAGGCTATAGCAACTTACTTTTCAGCAATCTTACTCACTGCTGATACTGCCATAGTCTAGTAGAATTTTTATTGTTTTTTTTTTTTCTGGAAATAGCTTTTATTTGAATAAAAATTCTTAGAAACTGAACAGATCTTCAAAGAAGCAAACCAAAGGGCTTCAAGTGCAACACTACTCAGTTTCTAATAACAGGAGAGTCACTGTGGGTCATGTTTAAGGAGAAAAGACAAAGAATAAAATCGTCCTCCTCCCATTGGCTTTATTTTGCTCAGAAAAACTAGAAACAAGAAGATCAAGTACTAGGTAGGGCACTTCCTCGAATGCTGGTTGCAATAAAGTGCTTTGCACTAGAGGTGACCTTTGCCAACTGTTCAAAATCTCCTTTGCTGTCCCAAAATATGCTTAGCTTCTTTTTTTCATGATATGACAGAAGACTGTGGTAATTATAGGAATAGTGCTGAAATCTGCTTGAAATAAGCTGTTCTCTGTTATTGTCAGATCACAAATTCCCAATAGTAAGAGTGACTTCATTGTTTGTAACTATGTCCTTAAGCAAATGTCTTCCTTCAGAGCCAAAGCACTGACCTCATGATAGGGAATTAAAAAAAAAAAAAATCTCTGTAACTTACAACGTTTATCTCCAACTAGCTATCATACTCACTAAAGAAATCGTGGCCGTTTGCACAAGAAATAATGCCTATTCCAAACCATACTCTTTAATTTGAACTGCTAATTGACCACAAAGAGTGACAATTAAAAAGCCTAACTCATCCTGATTAAACTTTACACGGGAAAATGGTCACTGAGACTATATAAGCAATTTCAAAACAGGCACTGTAACACAAAGAAAGCAAACCTATTTGGAGCGGTAAGAGATTCTTGCACTGGGTTTTGCTTGCTCTAAGTGACAAATTAAGCTGATGCTCCTAGCGAACTGAGTTACAGCAATAGAAAGGGGTAGAAGCAGATGGAATATCTCCCTCACTGTCATGAACCCAGAGAGTAAAAGGAGTGAGGAAACCCTCTTTTGTCCACAGGTTTACAAACAAATACGAGATATAAATAATATTCTAAGACAGTACAAATGCAAATACTGTTCCCTTGTGTCAATTACATACAGCATGCCTACATATAGAGAATGGTAATTCTTTTTCATTCACAGACAGGACATATGGCAGTGCACTATTCAAAATGCTTTGATATTCCTAATTTTTGTTTCTGGTGCTGAGATATAATGAAAGGAACTACATTTGCAACTTATGAAATCCTTCCAGGAACAAACAGTTCACTTTGTTCGGGACTTGTAGTTTTGAGTAATTAATCATCCACTGAGCAAGACCCAGTCAGGAGATACCCATTGGTACCACTGGTCCCGTTGGTGGTGGTCACAGTGTGGGGGTTCTTTCCTGGAGGTTCTGAATCTTCTTCATCTGAGCTAGACTCAATATCACTTCGATCATCCTTGGACACCTGTGGAATGAAAGAAGGTGAACGTAACCAGCTCCTAAGGAATCATTAAAGTACAGCACGCTCAGAAGTACATGTAATCACACATGAAGGGAAACAGATCCAAAAGTTAAAAGTCAAAAAGGGTAAGAACATTGCATAATAGTAAGTTCTCCTTCACTGGAGAATATATATAATTTGAGTGACATATAATTCATATAATTTGAGTAACAAAGTCAGTTCTCAAGGATGATGGGCAGATTGGGGCATCAGAGGGAACTGGGCTAGACAGGCTGCCTTCTTTAAGGTACCTTTAGGCAATGAGAATGTACTAGACTATGGAATCCACTCTTACTGGCAAAGTACTACACTATACTATTGGAATGGCATTACAGAAATTTGGTACAAATGGATCAATTTACTCTCTGATGATCACATTCTCCATGAAAATCCCATAAAGGATTAACCACACTAATGGAGATATTCACTAGCTTAGATCATTTAAAAAGTCATTCTTATTTGGCTTTGTAATGCATTATTTTGTGATTTAATTTGTTTTCCTATTCTGTCTGCTAAAATTAAGCAGACATTTTGTTTTATATACTATGTAACAACTAATGGCAGCAGGAGGCATTTTTGGGAACCTGCTGGGTGAAGTCTAGTTGAAATATTTCCCAAAGAAAATCTATTGACCATTATTCCAAGGTTCTTCAATCCTCCACGCAGTCTCATTACATAATGAGGACCACAAACCCTGGCACCAGCATATTAATCTAGGCATTACCATAAAGGACAAAAAAAAAGTCACAGGATAACAAAATATTCATTTAGGGAGGGCTTAAGAAAATCCTCACCTACTTTTAAAATTAAAATTTTCAATCTCCTACCCGGTCTAAATTATGGTAAACAGTTTTACCCAACAGGCCTTAAGGCCCCTGAGAACCTGAGCACTGTTCACTTATTTTCAAAGTGGGATAGCAATAAGGACCTGGGGGCCTGGCTTCACTGGGTTTCCCAAATCTAGTTGCCTGTGGTTGTCTAAGACGTGCATTGACAGAGTCTCTTGGGAGGTACATCGGAATGAACTGGGGGCTTTTCTGTGTCACATCCTCTCTGTGCCACCACTGTCCCCAACGTGAGAAGCCATCATTGCTGCAAGACAACGTCAACTCTGTTGGGTGGGTGTGGACAGGACAGTGTGTGATCATGCATGCATGGCAGTTGCTCCTTTCTAACCAGAAACAACCAAATGAAAATGGACTTCACTCCGTTTACAGCCCTCTGAGATGAGACTGAACTCAAAAGGTCCATCTCCAAGATTTAGATACAGAAAAGCCAAAAGGACTGAATTATTTAGGATACTTTAACTTTAAAAAAAATGGGTCACAAAGATAACATGATAGTAAAGCACCACTACATTAAGAAATCCATTAGTCATAAATTAAGCTGCTAAGAGGAAAGAAAACTCCAGTTGCAAAGAGTGATTAATTTACATTTCCATGCTTAGTAAGATTATTTTTAATTGCATTTGGAAAAAAAATCTATACTTCTGTTACCTACAAGGAAAGGAATAATTTAGCATGTTGCAAGATAACCCATAGAAAAATGCTGTCCATAACACATGGCCACGACAAATTCCTACTGTTCTGGGTGAATAGCAATGGCAGTTAACATATTCTGAAGCCTGAGACTTGCAATAAAATAAATAACCATCTCTTTGTAAGACTGAGGAGTAATTTGGAGAGAACACAAGACATCTGGTGGAAACAGCAATGCAATAAAGAGACCAGTAATGGAATCTGCTGTGCTCTCGCATCTCCAGTTACTATTATATGATAATATTGTGCACATGGATGTAATTTGTATCCAAATGAGGAAAGGGTTTTTTTTTTTTTTTTCCAACAGAAATGCATGCTCATTTTAAAGAGGAAGAGGTCACAGAGAAAAAAAATGAACTTTTATCTCCTAACAGTTAATTGGTCAAAATATGTTGGATATATATTGGTCAAAATATGTTGGAAATATAAGAGCTGATGCTGCGAACTGGCTTCATAGTATGTGACTAGATGTCTCCAGCTCCGTGGAAGGGGCCAGGATGAAGTGGTCAGGGCAGAGCAGGCAGACAGCTGATGCTCCAACCTCTACTCTGGACCACGTTGAACCTTGCCCCAACTTAGTTCTGTTTTTCCTACTTGACTTTGGTCTATTTCTATTTTTTTTTTTTAGCAAACATGCTAAACACCAGTAAAAAATTTCCTCTCTCCTCCTCCTGGATTGTGCAAAGTTTAGCAGGATGCAAGCTCACCCAAAGGGCACGGACTGAGCTGTTTCTGGTATCCTTTGTACCTGGTGGGAGCCACATCTCAGTTAAAGCCTCTGGTCAGTGCCAACAGGTTAGCCAGAACAATATGCATGGAGACAAAAGCCTGGGTGCCCCTCCAACAGGCGAGAGCAGCACCCAGGACAAGGACAGAGAGAGAGAGAGATCTGAGGAACTTACATGTAAAGGGTTCCACTTCCCAGCCTTCCAGGGTGGCAGAAGGAAGAGAACAAACAACAAAAGTAAGAAAATGTCACAGAGAACATTCTGGAAGAGCCAGTGCTCTCAAGAAACTTTATTTGAATCAGCCTCATGAGTCCCTATTTAAACAAAGAGATTTAGCTAAGATTTATTGGAAAAACCATAAATGGACATACTGCATCAAGCAACCCTTTTTATAAAGGAAAGAAGTTATTAAATTACTCCTTGGTAGAAGTTTAATCAGAGAAGAACCATGGGAGACAGAGGGAGAGAAAGAACACAACAAATAACATATCATCATTAAATCTAGAATTACAAATACAGATCAGTGGGAATCATTATCAGAGCGATGCCACAAGTTAAAAAAAATTAACCAAACAGAAGAAAACACAAATTTGGTCTGTGTTTCTAGGAGGTTATGCTAAATCATAAAGAAAAAATACAAGTTTTGATGAATTTTGAAATAACAGTATTCTTATTGATAAAGAAGAACCCAATAAAACAACTTTCTGGGACATATCAGAAACAGGTTTTATCTTACCTTGCCTTTTGAAATAGCTTTGCAAGCTATTTTTATGATCAAGTAAGACCAGAAGCAGTTCAAGCCTTGTACTAGCAACAGCAGTAGGTTAAAAACCCACCAGGAAGGGTAAGGCCCGACGATCTCCCAGCTTTCAAATAATGTGGTATTTAACACCCTAAGGAAAAAGAGAAAGTAATCACTTAACACAGCAGTCCACTTCGCCTTCACGGGAACTGCAGTTAGTGCACACCAGCACAGGCCAACAATATCTCGCCCTGAAAGGATGCTCTGAAATGCGATCAGGTACTTGGAAGAGTCCTCGCTGGAAAGGTTTCCCTGGTTTCTTAATGCTCATTTTAATTCCAGCTGGACCAGTGTACTTCTGCTCCCCCTTCACTTCTGTTGTCATTTCTTCCATTAATTTCCATGAGGTTTTGGGTTGTCGTTCTCTCTCACTACTTGTCAAAAAGCCTGTTTTGTCTTCATCGTTGCTTCTGGTCTTTAAGTAAGTGTGAGGGATACCATTTGATAACGCTGCATTGCAAGAACAAAGGTTAATCCCAGAAACGCTAGTTAGGGAGTTTAAACTGTATGCCTAGTACAGTGGTGGTTAGAATATACTTAAGACCAAGCAAAATGTTTCGTAAGTAATTTGTTCTCTCGTAATCTACTATCAAGACCAGGATGGAGCAGCCACCTGGGGTAGGTACCGAGGGCTGGTTTCAGAGCTTTACTCTTGTCCCTGCTGCGTCCTCTCCGATGCCTTTAGAAGTTGATTCATGCCTTCTGGACTCATATTATTGCCAAAAAGAAGCATGGCACCCACGGAATTTCGCCATCACTCTGACTTCTTTTCTTTCCTCCTAAGCTTACTACAGGGCTTTGTCTGGAGATCTAAGGATGTTGACCAAACTCATCTAAGTGTATTTCCCCCATCTGCCACTGCAGTGCTTGCTGGGACCTGGGGAGAGGCTAGGTGGACAATACTTAGTGGCTAACGGGTAGGGATGGAAAACTCAAAAGACATAGGCTACTCCCACAAGAACAGAAGACAGATATAAAGAAAATTTTAATATAAGAGTGTGATGTGGGGCGCCTGGGTGGCTTAGTCGGTTAAGCGTCCGACTTTCGCTTAGGTCATGATCTCGCGGTTCGTGGGTTCAAGCCCCGCGTCGGGCTCTGTGCTGGCTGCCAGCTCAGAGCCTGGAGTCTGTTTCAGTCTGTGACTCCCTCTCTCTCTGACCCTCCCCTGCTCACGCTGTCTCTCTCTCTCTCCTAGAAATTAAAAAAAAAAAAAAAAAAGAGTGTGATGAGTGCTTTGAGGAGGTTAAGAAAACTGCTTTGTTCACAAAAGGAAAGAAACTCACTTAATTTGCACTTGGGATGAGAAGTAAAGAAAAAAGGAGTGGATAGTAGACACAACTATGTTCCCATCCCTAATTTCAGAAACCCACATTTATAGGCCAGAAGGAGATGCACAAAGTATGTTTCTGATCCTGTCACACTGGTGGTCTCCTGAGACCAATGCAGAAAAATCAACAGTATGGAATTGAATTTTACAATTCATTCTAAGTGTGTTACTCTGTAACATAGTACAATTCATTCTGGTGGAAGGGGACTAATATTAGGAAATCTGTTAATATAATGTATTACACATCCATGGGACAAACTGGGACAAACCCAGTTATTTCAGTAGCACTGAAAGACATTTGGTAATGTTCAATTCTCCACCGCTGATGTTTAAAAACTAGAACTCAAAGGATTTCCTTAATATGATTTTTAACCAACTCAAGTCAGCTGTTGTCACCATATTTAACAACACCAGAGTTCCTGCCTTTATAATCAGATACAAATCACGGACAGCCAGCATCACCATTATTAGTTGACACTATTCTGAATGTTCTGGCCACTGAGTATGGTATAAGGTCTAAGACTTTATTTCAAGTACATAAACATCAAATTTGTATAACTATTTTAGAAACAGCAAGCAATCAAAATTTCCAATTATAGGAAATGGTTAAGAAATTAGTTTTCATTTTTATTCCAGAAATTATGAACTCACTCAAGTATTAAACACGTTTTAAGAGTTTCTTATGATAGAGAAAAATATGTAATATCACCTCAACTTCATAAAAATAAATATTGTTGGCCTTTGAACCACACAGGTTGGGGGGCACCAACCCCTCATGCAGTCAAAATTCCATGTGAAACTTTTGACTTCCCTCAAACGTAACTACTAATAGCCTACTGTAGACTGCAAACCTTCCCGATAATACAGTCAACATATATTTTGTTTGTTACATGTATTATAATACCGTATTTTTACAATAAAATAAGCAGGGAAAAGTATTAAGAAAATCACAAGGAAGAGAAAATTCACTTACAGTACTGTATTTATTGAAAAAAAATCCATGTGTAAGTGGACCCATGTAGTTCAAACTTGTGTTGTTCAAGGGTCACATATACACATAGAGAATTGCACATATGTACACAGAAAAGCCAGAAAATTATAATTCCTTGAAAGGAATTAAAGCCATTATAGAATTTCTTTGGTGAATTAGGGAATTTAGCATTTTCTTCTTTACATTCTTCTTTTTCCCAAATCCATTACAAGTAATTAGAAAAAAATACAAGTTATTATTTTTTTTTAAAGGAGCACATTAGGATAAGCCTACATTCCAGACTTGTTCATTATCCTAAGAGGCAATCATCTCTTTACACACCAGCTTGCCAGTCCAGGGTCAAGAGATCTAAGTAAGGTTCAACTCTCTGGCAGCAAAGGAGGACCCATGCACCTTACACTTTTCTCTCTCCAGCACCTTGCAGAACACCTAGAAGTAACATGCTTGCTGGACATGTTGGTTGACTGTGTGTGTGTTTAGTAATCAAATAAATAGGCATTCACAAGGCAGCTCTGGAATAATAACAACTTTATTTCAGAACCAGCCCTGCTTCCTGACATACTGTATGTTCTGACATTCAGAGGAAACCTAGTTTCATTTGAACAGAAAGAGGTCCTGTAGAAATAGCAACAATGATTGCATCATGCGATTCATTATAAATCAGCCTTTGCTGGATCACAGGTTGAGAGCCTTTTCACCATTATGATTTACTTGACTTAATTTGAACAAGGTGTCATGCAGTCACTGGTGACACGGCATTCACATTAATTTCTGAAACGCTGCATCAGAATTCATAGGCTTTGCCATGACAATCAGTGGCACCTCTGAGATACTGCTCAAAAGTAATGGGATTTCTTTGAAAATTGACTTGGATGCCTGCAGAGACACTTGGGAAAATGCACTCAGTGCACCAAGGGGATATATCTCTCTGTGAGAAGCTTGGTAAGAAAAACAATATATTATGAATTTAAACTGGGGAGAGACAAGATATCGTTATGCCACCTGCACTCTGAAAAACAGCAAATTCAGGAAATGGGGCCTTGGTTTAGCTACATAATGTCTGATGAGGAAACTGTTCCTTTTGGTCAAACTGTTGAAATGGTGATTACAGGATTTTATCCTTTCTTGGAGGTTAGGGTTGGGGTATGTACTCTAATGATGCTATTGCAAATATATGGAGATGGAGCTCTGAACAGGGGTTATCTCTAAGCACTGACACAGAGAGGCTTCTGGGATGCTGGAAACGTTCCAGATCTTGATCCACATGGTGATTATGAGGATTATACATATGTAAGCTTCACAAATATAAAAATGTATCAAGCTATATACTGAACAGTTGTGCACTATACTGTGAATCATACCTCAATGAAAGAAAATGGAAAAAGTACTCTGTGGACCAAATGCCGTCAACCTCTGGCTTGCATAATTACCAGTGTTTCCCACCTCCCCTTCGCCCCCACAATAATCCGGGTTCAACATATGGCTTCAAAGAAAATAGATTATTTTTTCTTTCCCAAGTAATGGGCTACAGTGTCAAACCTACTGCTGCTGCTCAAATCACGTGGTAGTTTGGAGCCATTTAGGGACCAGAAAGGACCATTTTCCTTTTCATTAATGTTAGGCTCCCTTAACCACTAGATGGCACATCACGCATGTATAAAGCACACTCAAATAGGTCTATTCTACCAGAACTGTCTGCCTAGGTGTGGCTCCACCCACCCCCAAAAATCATTTGATCTTCGGGTTACACTCTTCTTTCTAAGAATCTTGCTAAACAATGGAATGAGGAGGCTTCAGTCTGCAGTTATTTCTTCCTGCATGATTCCTGACGCTTTGCAGGGCAAAGCTGAGCTCCAGGTAATTTTTTGGTGATAGGCAGATGTACCAGTTACTACCTCAACAGATAGTTTAGCCTTGATGAGTTATTTTAATGGATGTTTAATGAATTAGAAGATTTTAAGTTGACTATGCCTTATAATTACCTGTGCTCACACTTCCCTTTTTATAGATTCTTCATCTTAATTTAAGATCCTAGGTCAGGGATATGGACATTCATGCACGGGAAAGTTTACAACTTTTTTTTTTTTTTTTTTTAAGCAAAAACAGATTCATTTTAATATATTTAAGGACTTATTCATATTCTAAGCATTAATGTGACTTTTATTCTCCCCTTAAGCCTCAGAATTCTGGACGTCTCATAATGTAACACAGCACAGTGTAGAAAGGCCTTCACTGTTGTCTCATTTGGAAAAAGTATAACCAATGCTTCATTTCTTCATTGTTATGACTGCCAACTCAAAGTTTAAGTTCATTATCTTTAATATATAAGGTCAGATGAATGGTCTCACTTTTGGGCTCTAATCTTACTTTTAAAATATTATAGGAGTTTAGAGGTAGGACCATATAATGGTGATTGAGATTTAAAGAGAGACCCAGGTTCTCTTACTATGTGAGTGAGTTACAAGTGAATGTTTATGATGAGCCCACACCCCTGACCACAGCAAGCAACCACAAACTTTGCCTCACTCCCTCTCTCCACCCCTACCAAAGAGCTCGATCTGGGCCTTGGGTTGGGGGTTTCTGGAATGATCTATATAAAAACCCCAAAAATAATTGGACCCATATCTAATATCCAAAGAGAGTCAAGATTCTTCTCCAGAAGAATCAGGGTCAGGGTCTCATTTTGAGTACAGTTGCCTAATGTAGAGTAGAGTAGATTAAAAAGTAAAATTTGCTTTACAGTCAAAATTAAGGTGTTCCTTATTTCAGAGCT